AATACGAAATTTTATTCGTCTTTAGTATTTTTGAATTCAAAATATAATAAAGCATATAAATTATTGTACATCAAATGAAAGATAAATGAATTGTCTTTATTTTGAGTTCATTAGTTTTTTAATCGGTTATGTAGTTCATAAGATATTAATATTTAATATTTAAAATTTTAATTTGACCTTATATGTCTTCTTTATATTTTTGTGCCAAATAATAAAATAATTTTGGTGCAGTTGGAATCAGCATGAGAAGTTCTATCGCGACACATTTTGGGTTTTTGCATAGCTAAATGCTTCATATGCTACACTTATGCCAAACCGTTGGCTGTGAACAATATTTTTTTTAACGTCTGGCAACACGTTCTTACTCGCATTTTAGATATCAGCTGATTATGGTTATAGCGGAAAACAAAAAAATCAATTGGTCTCTATGGTTATCGGTCTGGATATGGCGTTATGGTGTGGCACCAGTGATCGGACTTCTACCACATTTAAGCATCTACCACACAAGGTCTGAAATCTACCACATATTCGGGTTTTCCAGTAGTTTTATTTTTGCTCGACATAATTTTCTTAATTTTAAGAGCAAAAATTGTCCAACACTAAACACTAACAACAGGCAGAATGGGAGGATAAAATAAACCGTAAAATAGTAAATTTTCTCAATATTCAATTTTTCGACAGGAAACGTGGTTTTATTATGTTAAATTGCATAATAAATGATTTATAAAAAAGAATTAATAACGAAAATGTTACAAAACAGGCGATTTTTGTGAAAGTATTAGAAAATTTCAGTGCATCTAAAGTTTCTAAAGCGTTGTTGACTTTTACTTGAGAATTGTCAAAATCGACAAATCCCAAATAGCGGTTTCTGGAACGTGCCACATTTGTTCGCTACATCGTGATGTGATAAAAAGAAAAGCTGGCAGCACTCCGCAAGGTTGCAGAAATCTTTCAAAATATGTTCGAAAAATATCTTGATATGGAAGGAACTGCTTTACACTGTCAAGGAAAAAAATTGCCAAAGCTCAATGCAATTTTTAGCAACTTCAATCTTGCACTTTATTGTACTAAAATTAATTTTTTTTAAATTCTAATTAAAATGTTTGAAATTTAGATGAAACCTTACAGAATTTTTCTATTTTTTGTACAAAACTTTATCCAAAACCTGAGATCTTCCACATTTTTTTGAAATCTACCACATTTTATTTTCAGACTCTACCACACACATTTTTTTTCAAGTCCGATCACTGTGTGGCACTACTAATCGAATACAGTGTTATATTTCTGCGATTTGTCAGTTATACTCGCGATAGTTTATAAGTGTCTAAAGAAATTTTACAAGGCAATTTCGACTAATTTTACGACGGTAAGAGCTACATTCGGCAATACAAAAAAATTTTAAATATTTTTACTCAAGGCATATTAAACAGGTGCATTAAAGCGAAAACAAGATTTACGTGTATTTTGTTGTTGATTCTGCTCTCCAAAGTGTCAAAAAAGTATTCTGTGTTTTTTAATCATAGTATGTCATGTGAAATAAAAAATAAAAAATTCAATTACAATATATAAACATTTTTTCCACTTTCTTTTTCCGTCCAGGAGCATCAATCCATCCTATGCAATGCGAACGCTCCACAAAAATGATTTTCAATCGCTTCGTTTTATGAAAAAAAACTTTCACATAAAAATTTATTTTGGCAATTTAGAATAATAACAAATATTTGACACCTTAGGAACCAAATAATTTAAATCAAATCAGCTGGTCTAATGATACTACCCGTTCAATATTAATTACTAATTATTATTTATAATTCGTGGAGAGCTTTAGTTAACTTTAATTCACTGGTTGTTCGTTCGGGTGATAAGAACTGAGATCTTATGAGAACTGAGAACTTTGGAATGAAAAAGTTGTATCCTCGAGACAAAAAACATCGATTTATAATATTTTAAGTTCCGAATGCAGCTACCGAAATTATGATGAAAAAGTTATTTACCTTGCAAAGTACTTTTGACTCGGGTATCTACAGCGAACTTTTTTTCTGGTAGTGTCTAATGTACATACATATCGACGGCTGCCGTCTTCCTTTTTGAAATTAGCTTTAATTAATACGACGCTTCACGTCCCCAATACCACAAGTGGTATTGCAATAAAGCCATAGGAAATAACGCCATATAGTTTTATTTCACTTCACATAGAGATGGCCTTATTTCCATGGGGAAAGTGAAATAAGCGGTTTAATTAGGAGAGAAAGTTCCAGACTACAATTGAAGAAAATATATAGCGTAAGGGCGTGAGACCCTGCCGTTTAACCTTATACAGAGTGGTCCAAAATGACCGAAAGCGCTGGAGTTTACAGTCAAGAATTGAAAATTAGACAGCCATTTAAAATGCCTAATCACTGCAGCATTTTTTCCGCCCATTTCCTTTTTGTATCGATTTTTTTGGTTCCCATTTCCTTTTTATATCGATTTGAAGTTGTGAATTTAAGGTTCAAAAATAAACAAGTACAATGTTTTTTTTGTTTGGTTTCGCTCACAAATTTCATACCTACATTCATATATGTACACTATTTAATATTAATATATGTACATATATTAAAGTATTGCAAAATTCAACATTTTCTGTAAAAATCTAATTTTCTAAAATTTCATGCATTGCTATGTCATGTCAAACAAAACAAGGTGTTATGCCATGTCATTCAATCTCAAACATACTGTTTTAGCAAACGTCTACAACTGGCAAAATTTTTGTTTTCTGCTTTCCACTCTCAGAAATACAAAGGCTGTACTTAAAAATTGCATACATATACACTTATGTAGGTGTAAATATTCTCTCATTTTTTGGTGATTTTTCCATTGCTCGAAAAATTATATTCGCAGAATTACGCATAAAGCGGCGGAAAATTGTAAGATTAAGAAGTTCAAAAATTACATATCCTCACCCAAGGGTGAAAAGGTGGCAACTCCATTTTTTTGAATTTATTCAAGAGAGACGAAAAATCGATGAAGTTTCGTTTTACCTGCCATTCTGCAGCAAAAACTAAATTTTGAAAAAAAATGGACTTGGCACCTTTTCACCTTTAGGCAGCGATATGTATATTTGCAAATCGTTCGAAAAGAACACATTCGCAAATTACATAAAATACTTAATAAAATGCGTGTAAGGACCTGACGAACCGGTACTCCTAAGAATTTACATATCCAAGTCATTTTGTGATAAAAAAAAAAAAATTAAAAAAAAAATGCTAAATACCTCCACTGGGAAAATCGATAACACTTGAGGAATTGATTATAACTTGCCCCAATGAGTTCACAGCCAAACACAGTTAAATTGCTTAGCCGATATCGCTCCGATCTATTGTTTCTTTAGAAACTCACTGTTCCATGAGAGAGGGGATGGGTAAATGATGTGAAATTTTGGATTTACGACTTTTCCTTTAACCACTCTAAGCTAAGCTAAGTTTTTTCTATCAACTATTACCATGACATTTTCCACCTAACTCCGTATAGTCGAAAAACCGTGTGGCATAATTCGTGCCCAGACTTAAAAGTATTAATATAAAAAAGCAACGAGTTTACCAAATAACCTAAAGCGATTTCCTACTCCAATTCTGATGCTTAATACTCGTTCATACATACGTAGTATGTGTATAGTTACTTCCCAATGGGAAATAGGTAAGCACCTTACGAGGTAATCCATGTTTTATTTCAGCTATAAGTACCAAAATTGTCATCATGACCACTAACACCTCCGATGATACCTTACGTTGTAAGTAGCAAAATAACGTACCGTCGACGTTATTTTCGAGCGCCGAACTACTCCGCGCGACTACTCTGCTTTCTATGTACCTTATTTGGTAAAGCGGCTAAGAGGTATGTCTAATACCAAATATACATACATTCTAAATTCCTACTTACCTCCTTTAAGGAATGTAGCTTCGGCTGGGAAGTGTTAAGGGCCGCCGGGTGAAGTGTAAATTGCTAGTAAGGCATTATTACGCGCAACTATTTCCTAAGGGGTTATATGTAAAGTTTATTTTCTTTACGTATAAATGTAGCTATTGAGTAATTTTCACTGAAAGCAAAATTATTTAAAGTACTATATTCATTATTAACTACTACAATAATTATTTCGCAAGGTTGATTGCTTGCAACAAATGCTAAAATTTTAATTTCACAAAATGTATTTGTATACAACGTAATGTCAACAATACATTCTTGTATATGTATATGTACACAAGGGTGGCCCCTGGTTATATGGAGAAAACTAAAAGTGTTAAGATTCTCGGTCTCACCCCCTAGAAATGTGTGCATAGCCTAAATACTAAAGTATGCAAAGTTTTAGATCAATAAAAAAAATTTAGAGGTGGCTCAAAGCGCTCAAAGTAATGTATTTTATATGGGGGAAAAACTAGTTTTCGCAGAAATGGTATAGAATCCTTGAATATCAATATTTTTCAAACGGAAAACTCAGTTTCTTTTATTACCCATTTGGTTATTTAAAATTTGTTTAATATTAACGATTTTTTATGGGTTCCCCCATTGTATTTTTTCGGGTTTTGGGGGACCCATAGGAAATAGTTAATATTAATAAATTATTAAATAAACGATTGACGGTTTTTCCTAAAAGTCTCCTTAAGAGAAAGAGAGTTTGTCGATTGAAAAACATAGGAAACTTTGAGCGCTTAGAGTCACATCAAAATATTTTTTTTATTTACATAAAACCTTGCATAGTTTCGTCCTTAGGCTGTTCACATATTTCTAGGGGGTGAGACCGAAAACCTGAGCTCTTTTCGAAATAAGGGCCACCCTAACGTACACATGCATGCATTTATACATAGTAAGTCTCACTTCATTTACGGCGTTATTTATTTTTTGTTGAGCCCACAATGTACACTTTTTCCACCTTAATATTTCATTGACAATTCATGGCGTGCAAACTCCGTTTTTATTGAATAATGAATTTAAATAATATAACAGCAATTGCATTGGTGCTAAAATTTTTACTAGTAGCGCAGAAATCGTGTGAAGTGGTTGAATATTTATTTAAGGCTCCGAGAAAAAGAAGCCAAATAAAAAAAAAATGTCACAAATTTTACGAAATATTTTTCATGAATACGGTAAAATTGGAACCAGCAAGCGTTTAAATTGAATCCAAAAACTGACAGCTTCTTTCTCTTTACTCTGCAGATCCTATAGCCTCGCAATTGCCCTTTTTGGGTTCACCAGTGCCCATCCTCACACTTACACTATGCTACCTCGCCTTTGTGCTGATTATCGGTCCTGTGTTTATGCGAAATCGGAAACCGTTTAATATAAAATCTGTGATATTAGTCTACAATTTCCTGCAAGTAATAGTCAACTGCTGGTTAAGTTACGTGGTGAGTTTAGTAACTAGTACTTAGTAACTATTTTGGGAAGTAGATACATAGGTATGTACATAGTAATATGTATTTCAAATAATTTTTTTCCCACCCGCCTAGTTTGTAGCCACATTTTACACACATCGCGCTGAAGTGCCCGACTTCGGTTGCCTCACGAAATTTCAACACTCACCCAAGCTGGAAAAACTCAACGTATATGGCGTCTACGCATTCTACATGCTGAAGGTGATCGATTACATCGAAACGGTTTTCTTTGTGCTGCGCAAGAGCTTTAAGCAGGTCTCGTTTCTGCACGTCTATCACCACATAATGATGAGCCTGTTTTTGTATTATCTGGGTACTTACTATGGCAGCGCCGGTCAATACGCCAGCGTCGTCGCCTTAAACTGCGCGGTGCATGCTTTCATGTACACCTATTACTTTGTGTCAGCTCTTCAGCCAAATATGAAGCTGGGACTGTGGTGGAAGAAATACATTACGATATTGCAATTGTCGCACTTCGTATTAGTGCTATTCCATCATTCCTATCCGCTGCTCTTCCGGCCGAAGTGTGACTTCCCCAAGGGTCTGCTGTGGTTTGCTGTGTGTCAAGCGTTGATAATGCTCTGGCTCTTTGGCAATTTCTATCGGCGAACATATATGCGAGTTGGTCAAACTGGAGGAGTGGTGAAAAATGGTGGAAAAAGTGTTAAGAATAATTAAGTACCTAATTGTTGACATAATTTTCATTAATAAACGAGATAATAACTTAAAGGGCATACTAAAAACTGCAAAAATTTCCTTGCGTATAACGCGCACTGGCATGTGAACACCTTGAGAAAAATTCAAGAAAATCCGTGTATTTAGTTGTAACCGTGCGAAATCAAAACGCGCATTAAACAGGGTCATAGTAATATATATCGCTACCTAAAGAAAAGGTGTCAAGTATTTTTTATTTTCACAAAATTTAAAGCAAAATCGAAAGGGAAAAATTGAACGAAAGTTGCCCATGCAAGTAATAAATAAGAGTGTTAGTGAATAAGTGTGAGTGTATTGAAAATTGAAAGGGGAAAATTGAATGTGTAACGTCCCGGTTAGGTGTACTGCCTGCTTACTCCCTTAGCTACAACAGCGCATATTAAACAAGATAGTAGCTGTTGCCCTCTTTATGACCGACTAAAATGTCAATGTGCGGCCGCTGTAGTGTAGTGGTTAGCAGTGTGCGCTTCCACTCCGCAGGTCCTGGATTCAAGCCCTGGGCAAAAACATTACACAAAAAATATAGGGAAAAGGTTTTTTTCTTAACAGCGGTCGCCCCTCGGCAAGTAATGGCTTCCCATGCAAATACAATCGCCGTTCGGAGTCGGCGTACAGCTGTAGGTCTCTTTGTGCGATAACATCAAGGCGCGCGCCACAAATCGGAGGAGAAACTCGGTCAAACACTAACATATGTGTAAGCGTCGATCTATTATTATTATTATGAGAAAACTGATTAATTTACATATTTGTGTATGTATGATACTGCAAAACGTTCTATGTCACTTATTACCTCTGGTGTTTAATTGATCTTTCATCTGTATCTGAACGCTCATCTTCATCAGCCAAAAGTAGACAGTTTTGTCTTTCGTTTGTTAGGGTGTAACGATTTGCAAATGCATTCCGGTGCAAGTAAGAGACCATATAAGTGTCAAGGGTACTAATAGACATAGGCCGTTTTTCAGTATCACCGACGATATATATCGAAATCAAAATTTGTTCTTCAATTTTTTGCTTTCCGAATATAAATATCAAATCAAATAAATAGCAGTTTTCCTTAGTTTAGTTAACAAGATTAGCCTGCATTGTGGTAACTACATAGTATGTATGTATATATATGTATATATACATATTTATGTATGTACATACGTACAATACTACATATAGCATAATGTGAAGGAATGATATAATAGTACTATTATCTGCAACCTCCAGGTTACTAGACCATCTAATATTTCCTGATCATATGTACTCTCCCTTTGAGATCATATTATCACTCTACAATACCGTAGAAAATATTTGGGCAATTCACAAGGTGTTGTGAAGTTATATTTTCCTAACAAAAGTTGTGTTAAAACACGACGGTTGTGAACACCTGTTACGATTATTTATTATATCTCAGCACTTAACCTCACATAACACCGAATAAACGTAGGTTGCAGAGTTATATCGTCATGTGTTATTTTTCTTCACAAAACAATAACAACATTTTTAGAACTGTCATGAAATATCATGACTTCACGACAAACACGACAAATACGACACCTTGTGAATTGCCCAATTGATATTAGGTCCATTCCTTATATTTTCTGACTAAAATCTGAAAAGTGGCAAAATGCGCTCACTAAAAGAGAATAACTGGAAAAAGTAAAGTAACGCAAAAAAAAACAAATTTTTAGTCCAAAGAATGGCAACAAAAAAACTAACGTCAAATAAGAATAGAAATGTATGCACGAAACACATTCACACAAACAAAAGCGCAATAAACACTTACTATATCATAAATTTTTTGCCTCATTCCAGTTTCCATTCGGTTTTTTTAGTTTTTAGATTTTTCTCACTTTTCGTGTATTCTTTAATTTCCGTTAATTTAAATTCAGTTGAGTTTGACACTTTTCAAGATTTTGCCAGCAAAAGTTCTTCTGACTACTACTGACTATTTCTGGCAGATAAGGAACGCAACTATTATTACTCGTTCAGGTTCTGTGGAAATTATATACAGGCATGATTGTGTACATATATATGTATGTACCTCCAAACCGCAAACCCATTATGCAAACTGACAAATAAACATTAACTTAGTTTTTCTATGATACCAATACATGCTGTGGATATAAACATACGAGTTAAACTAATACAAATATATGGAACAGAAAAAGTTGTTAAATTAATTTTACCCCAAAGGATAAATTTAAGGTTCAGCAAGGGATGCAATGCAATATATACAGATATGGTGAAACAAACTCAAACATATACAATTTACATACAAATCAAAAATCTAAATACATGGACATACATATGTATGTGTGTGCATACAAATATCTGCTTAAGTATTTACTAAAGCACTCAATTTAGTGAGAATTGTTAAATGTTTGTTCGCAACCTTTGAAAACGCTTACAATAATAAGCACAAACTTGCGTACATACATATATATACATACATATATGTACGTAAATACTATATCCATATTCATCTACATATATATATGTACTTGGATATGTACTTTCATATGTATATACATATAAGCAAATCTTCTCACGCGAACGATGTTGAGTGGATAAGTGGATATAAGAGAAATACTCATACGCCACCGACATCCGACACAAGAACATCATCAACTTTAATGAAGGTAATAGTCATTGTATTAAAGTCGATGGCCGATGGACCAAACAACACTGCATACTGATACGAAACACTCATGAATTTCCACACTCATATACAAAAGATGCACACATTTCAGTTATAAAGGGTGATTTATATGCAGGTAAAGTTCAAATAAAAAAGAGGGACTACGACTAAATTAAATTAAATTAATTTAAATTAAGCTTAAGAATAAAAGAGAATGAGGTGGGAGAAAATAAAATATAATAAAATAAAACAAAGAAAATTAAGAAAATTATAGATGAACTAAAAGCTGAAGCGGCTATTTATTTAAGCAAGCTTTGATTAGAACCAAATATGTTTTTGGATCACCCTGTTTATGCATGTTCATTGGTATATAATGAAAGTATCTTATTGTGGACTCCCAAACATCCTCAAATGCCGATATATGTGGGTATTGTAATTCCCTAAAATTAGGCACAAGAAAACAGATGTAAAACTAAGATGGTAGCTTCTTAACCGACTTCACAAAAAGAAGACGTTTATCAATTCGTCGGAATATATATTTTTTCATGTACATATGTTACCGCATAACTTTGGACCACGTTAACCGATTTCTATAATTGTGTTTTTTTTTTTAAGGAAAGGTGTTACCTCACAGGTTGGATCATGAATTATATGAGAATTGAAGTCGGTTTTTTCGCTTAAAAATTACTTGTTTACACCCACCTGTTCTGATGTATACAAGAACATAAATATGAAAGCCTAACTATGTATAAACAATCGAAGCGACCGACTCCTCATAGAATTATCCCTAAATTCATGGATGATTATTACTATACCCAACACTAATATTTTATTGAGTTTCCGGTCGCATTGCAGAATTCTTTTGTTTTTGCTTAGTGTAGTGTACATGTATACATTTCTATATATATATTTCCAGTGGACAAAATAAAGACCACTTTTAAATAAACCAATTTCAGGCGTGGCTTTTTCAGTAAGACTTCGTTTTGGGAGGGTTTTTTACAGACGCAGTGGCACCGCGCTATCCCCAAGTGGCTTTCTGAAATCAGGTTAACCTCATTGTGAAAAGTATTTCTTCTTCTTTGGAGCAAAAGTCAAAGAATGATTCTCTCGCATGCCTAGTCATAAAACGATAAGAGTACCAAGTACAGAATATCGATACTTTTTGTGAGTTCTGCGTAGCATCGAGCTATCGATACTTTTTAACAAGTGATGAGTACGTATCGCAAACTAAAAGATATCGACGCGCTAAAACCTTCTTTAAGTAAAAAACAATTTTCTTTAATTACATAAAAAATTTCGTTCTTTCAATTACATTGAAAAGTGCTTAAAAATTACATTGTGGCGAACGTTCAAAAATTATCTCGGATATTGAATATGAATGTCGTGTAAATGAACATAACACTTATTTACATTAATACTCTCATAACTAAACAAAAAACAAAAAAAAAACGACAAAAATGCCTGTTAAGTTTTGAATTTAGTACATATGTATACTCACTCATGATTAAAATATAGGAAGGTAGAACCCATGATAAAAACATAACAAGGTAGAACCGTTCTCTCAATTTGTCGGCCATGATTTTTGTTTGAAGTTTGCCAGCATTTTAAAATCATATAAAATTGAAAATAAAAAATTGAAATTGTTCGAAATTGTTGTTGCTTCCCCGCAAACATATTCTGAGCGTTCAGAATATATGAGTCCGAAAGGTGTCCTAGGTAGGTAAGAAATATGAGTTTCAAAAACAAAAATTTTTTTACTCTTATATGAATCTTTTAGGATTCATATATGAGCCAAGTTATGAGCCAGCACCTTGTGCCAATATAAAAACAATAAAGATTTGAAATTTATATCTAAACTTGTTTATACAGAAATTGAAAATAATTAGAAAACAAAAAATGAACAAAATTTAGCTTCAGCTGCTGCTATTGAATGCATGTTGGAATGTGTATATGCATGTAAGTATGTATGTATGTTATTTGCAAGGACTTTTTGCGGAATGCCTTTGCAAATATAGTGAGTTGAATAAGACTCAAAGAGCAACCTAAAATAAGAGTCCGAATGTAGCAATTTATGAGGCCGATAAGGGTCTCAAAAAGAGTCATATATGAGGCCAAAACTTGTTTAAAAGAGTCCAAAATGAGCCGTATATGAGGCCAATAAGAGTCCAATATGACTCATATTGCCGCTCATTTGATGTATGAATTTAAGCTCATATAAGTCGACATTCGTAGGAAGGGAAACACACTCATATCGGACTCTTAAATGAGCTCATTATGAGCGTAATAGCTCCGAAATAGGACTCCTTAAAGACTCATTTATGACTCCAAATGTTTGCTGGGTTGAGATTGAAAATGAAAATGTGTGTGTGAGTTTGTGAGTAAATTTAAAAATTAAATTGTTTGGAAACGTCAAGAATTTTAAAAGTGACTCTCAGCGGTTCTACCTTACCATGGTGGAATAATACAAGGTGTTGGATATTGACAGCGTTCTCGCTCTAATCCGCCATCTTGGCTCCCTTAGCTATATCAGTGTTTCCCTCTTGAAAAAACTATATTTTATCGCCTTTAAAAAAGTACTAAACTACCTCATTCCCTATTCCAAAACCGATTTGCAGTCACTGAACAATTCTTTGACATTTACTCTATTCTTATCGTTGGCAACTGAAAATTAAATTAGAAATTTCAACATTAATTCGGCAAAAAAACATCGGTTTAGAGTTCTCCCCAAGGATTTGTAGTTATTTTGGTCGGTGCTTCCTTCCGCTGCAATTCCGTCTGTGGTTCACTGCCACTGGCCTTGCTTTTTCAACGATATAACTGTTTTCTTGGTAAGTTTAGATGGAAGATTTAAACAAGAACTACGTATTTAACTATGTACTATTCCCCAGTGATTTTTGCTGCTGCAATCCCGTCTGTGGTTCACTGCCTCTGGCCCTGCTTTTCCAACGATATAACTGTTTTTTTGGTAACTTCTACCGCTAAGACTTTGTTGCTTTTTCCCTTTTCCCTAAAAACATAATAGTGCTACAAAGCTCAATAACAATATGGAAACAAATGTTAATAAGCCACAATAATATTGACAATAAATAAGATTTCACTACGATTGAATTTTCTATTAGTAACAGGGTAGTTATAGTGAATGTTTTATTCGATAACTAAAACTATATTTGATGTTTGTAGCGATAAAAATATGCCTAAATCAGCCAAATACCCTATGTGGGTCGGCTGAATCAGTAAAACGTGACAGTAGTTGACTTTTGAGGTTAATATATCGGTCTTGAGTTGGTAAGGTTTTTAAAAAATCCGCAGCTTCCTTTAAAGCATCGCTGCTAATTGCTGAGAAAACCAGATTGTATTTACCGACATAAGATGTGGTCTTGTACGACTGAAAGGTGGCCTCAATTTGTAGAAACCATTTGTCTGTCATCTCAGTTCAGAACGGTCGCAGCTTGCATTGCGATGCAAGCTCCACATCTTTAGTTGGCATTTTGTTCGATGAAATATTCTCCCCATCCGTCGATTCGCCCTTTTGTCGATTCCGTCATGTTGTAACGACTCGGGGTCACCACTAATTTTTTGGTTTTGGAAGTTTGACTATAATTATAGGACATTGTGTTTAATAAACTAAATTACCATTTATTGCATAAGTACTACGTTATATATACTACTTTCGCGAATTTAGCTTATCATAATATACCGTTTGTAACTATTTATATGCAAAATTTTATATGAAAAATAGTACCAAATTTCGTACTACTTCGCAAAGTGGGCTTTTTTTCTTCCCGTTTCTCTCGTGCTTCCATATTACAACCTTTTGTAAGGGAGCTGTCGACATGAGCTGTCACTACGTACAACACCTTGTATAATTCCACCATGTACCTTACTATATTTTTATCATGGTAGAACCGCTGAGAGACACTTTTAGAATTTTTGACATTTTCAAGCATTTTAAAATTTACTCACAAGCTCATACAAAAAATCGCATTTCCAATCTCAAACAACAAAAATTTTGAACAATTTCATTTTGAGTTTTATATGATTTTAAAATGCTGGCAAACTTCAAAAAAATCATGGCCGACGAATTGAGGGCACGGTTCTACCTTACTATGTCTTATCATGTATTCATTTAGGAAAAATTAATTCATATTTTGTTCTGGTAAGGTACTGTTAATCGGTACAGCTGTGAAATTTTTACACAACATAGAAGAAGGGGTAGCGGTCATTTCGAGCTTTGGCTCTGTTAAAAATTCTTAAATAATTTGAAATCGAATCTCTTGCCTCACCTTCGATAATGCATATGGTAAGAAGGTGGAATTTGGCTCGATACCTTCCTCGTTCTCCAGCATAACGGAACCTTCTTTATCGAATGTATTCCACCATCGTCGTAAGTTCGAAATCTAGTCCATTACAATTACAACAACATCTTTTTGACAGCCAGGCGGCCATTAAATCAATGAACGCGGCAATGCTGGAAGATGGAAGGTTGCGCTTCTAAACGATATTAGCGCCGTATTCAAGGTCAGCCTCTTATGGGTCCCGGGATATAGAGATATAGAAGGAAATTGCAGGGATCAGGAAAGGCACCATACATAAATGTGATACCCATGGCAACCTGCATATAAGAACTTGGCTAGAGGAGGGCACTTGCAGAACAACCAGGTTACAATGGCCACAAATAGATTAGAAAATAACGAGTAAGTTGCGATAGTCACGGCTTGTGTAACCGGTCATTGGCTATATGGCAGACCAGGAATATTCTACCACGAATATCGCAGAAGTTGCAGAGATGAGGAAGAGGAGGAACCCGTAGAGCACTCATTCTGCAGTTGCCCAGCTTTGGCCAAGAGCACTTCATTAGATCTCTTATGAAATTATCAAGCGTAGAAATAAAGCCATTCCTACACTTTATAAGAGCTTCAAAATGGTTCTATGAAGGGTAGTCACTGAGATTTCCGTGTTTTGCAGTGGTACCACAATGCGAGTCGGTTATTTGCACCGACTGCCACACCAATCTTACATAACCTAAACTATTAGTTAGCGCACATTTTTCCTTTCTATTGAAGCTGAATTAAAAAATCGAGCACCGAATCATCGCCTTAAAGAACAAAGTAAAGGCTCCCAGAAAGCTTTTTTGTTCGTCGACTAGGTTAGGCCAAAAATGCATAATAAAAATTAATTTGTACTCGAGAGGTAACTAAACTGGCAAAAGTTTAAGAAATTATAAAAGTGGTAGAAGAAAATAGCTTCATATGTGTACGTAAAAGTACATATATATATTCGTATACACATATTTATGCATAAATGCGTAACCATACTTATATAGAGTCAACGGCTGTAAAGTTAAGAATTCAATTGAAAGTCAATCGAGAACAACAACATTAAACTTATAAAACTAATAAATAGTTATAGCCCAAAAAAATCGCACAAAATATATGAACAACGCAATAGAGTCTAGATACCCCAATATTTACTTTAGTAATAGCAATTTTGGAAAAATATGTATACATACATACACACATAAATTTTACGGCCTAGTGCAAATAAAACATTAATGCGACTAAGAAAATACCGGAAGTCGATAGAAAGCCAAACAAAGAAAGCACACATACTCGTACCAGTTGAGTAGTGAATAAAAAAGAACAACTACATACATAACTTAACTTTTGCCTCTGAAAAAGGAGATGTGCTCTGCTGCGGAAGAAGGCAAACGCTGCCGAAAGATGTGCCCTCCCCCGCACTAAACAGTAATATGACGCCATGACGCTTATCACAGCCCAACGCCAAAGTGAGTGAGCAATTTTCTCTCGAGCCCCAATCTACGCCGGCAAAACGGAAGAATAGTAACGCTCCGTTATGGGCAGATGCTTCTATTCAGAGTTGTAAATAATAAATAATAAAAAAAATGTTAAAAGGCGGATAGTCGGCATGTCTGGAGCGCAGCTCTTATCGATTTCCAAACAAACTATGGATGATTGAATAAATACATAAATTTGGGGAAAGCTGGTAATGTGACTAGTCAATTGGACATTGAAGATATCCATTACGCTGCCGAAATACTCTTCCTTTAGATGTTTCGTTGTACAAACGTATTTAAAAGCATAAGTATATATTTCATTTTTAAAGCGATTAGTTGAGTCTATTTAACCCTAGAATAATAACCTTACACATTTACATTTCTACTGTAGCTGCTGCTACAACAAGCGGCCACAAGTTTCAAGTAAACTAAGCTTGCTTTGTTTTGCTCTCGTATAGCGTTTTTGCATACCATGAGAGTAAATATTACTCATGATTATTATGTATAGCAGGGTTTGATCGTTTTTCCTTTCGTCCAGCATTCTAAACTCTCCGCACTCGAATATTTCGGCCCTTTCTTTTTATTACGGCCAATACGTCTCGCTGCTCTCTTTTACAATCCCACAAAGCTCTTGTTGCGCCTGAAAGCAGCGAGGACCTGTATGTGGCAAACTTTTTCTCTGCAGCGGCATGACATTCCTTGTCGTACTAGTTCTTCTACGTCGGCGGCACGTAATAAGCGGAATAATATGGCTCTACTACTCCTATACAGGGTATCCTAGACCACTCGTAGTATTCCGGTTTTGGCCGTAAGTGGGTTAAACTGACCGGAAGTTCATTTTTTAAATTACACATGTATCTTTCCACTACAGATTCGGATTCTCTGCACCAAAATATAAACCTCGTCGTGAACTTTTGTTGGAAAATGTTGAAAAAGGCATTTCTGAGAAAAAAGATTCAAACAAAAACTGCGTATCCGAATCTGTAGTGAAAACCTATATAATTTAAAAAATATACTTCGGGCCAGTTTAACCCACTTCCAGTCCGAACCGGAAAAAGTTCCAAACAAAAGGTATGTATTTTTATGCGCAGGATCCGAATCTGTGCTAAAAATATGTAATCGCATTTTCAAAAAATGGACTTCCGGTCAGTATAACCCATTTCCGGTCGAAACCGGAAGTCTGTAATACGACCAAAAGATAGAGCGTGCTCAAGTTGGTAATTCATATATTTTCGTTTTACAATAAAAATATTTTCATTCATTTAAGAAGTCCTAGACGAGTTAAAGTTCGAAGGTCATTTAGAGGTTGAAAAAGGCACTTCGGAGAAAAAAGTTTCAAACAAAATTTACGTATTTGTATCCTTATAATCCGAATCTGTACAAAAACTATGCATATCATATATGCGTATGATTAGTAGTAAATTTTATTCCTCGAATCATTTTGTACTCTGCAGACTCATGAATATATATTTATGCTAGAATTTGATGTAAATTATTTACCATTATGGTGTATGATTTGAGCCAATTATGGGTACGTATTTTCCACGAAGTTTTTTTACGGAGTTTATTTTATGTTCTAGAAACAAGAAAACTTGTATACCACTGGCATAATATAAATACCGAAAATCAGTAAAAAAAATTTACTGTAGGTGTAAATAAAACACGAAAAAGCGGTATAACCTTTACACTGAATTGAAATAAACTGTTCAAAAACTGCGCTTAGAAATGGCATATTTTTTATATTGAAAATGTATATCACGCCGATGTAAAAAAATACACAAAATATGTTGGTGCATTTTTGACTTTTGTGCTACTTGAGAATGCATATACAGTGACTCAAACAAGTAATTTTTTTTTAATATTTGCAATGTTTTTCAAATTAAATTTTGTTTGTTCTTTTATTATAAAAATATTGTCCAAACTTTAACCAAAGCCATATAAATTAAAGTTTCACACTTTATACCAAATTTAGGAAAACTCAACATATTTTCAGCTTTATAATCTGAGTTTTTAGAAAATTCCTGGATATGCAGTTTTGTAGCCCATATAATTTTTATTAGAGGAAGTGCCAGTTTAAAACGGCTAAAAAATCCTGTTGATATTAGAGATTTTTTTTTTCTTCAACAATTTTTATTGAGCTCGAGGCCGTTTTTTAATGAAAACTTATTGTGGAAAAGCAAGAATAATTTGAAAAAATGGTAGAAGTGATAGCTATTTCGGAAATCATCAAATTTCCTCATCGGACTTCTTTCAGTAAGATTCGAATTATTGTTGCTTTTCCACAATAAGATTTCATTAAAAAATGGCCTCGAGCTCAATAAAAATTGTTGAATATAATTGTGATAAGGCCATAAAATTACAAAAACAAATTTTTTTTTCGTAACTGCTTTTGCGGTTTTTTATATAACAAGTGCAATTTACAAAAACTGGCATTGTTTTTTATTAATTTTTTTGTGAACGAATTTTATTTCATAAGAAATTCATGCTTACATGGAAAAAACTGCAAAAATCCGTCCGCAAAAAAATATTAAAAATCAACACGATTTTGCAGCCGCATAAAACTTGCACTTCATGAGAATAAAATTGCATGGGCTATAAAACTGCATACCCAGGAATGTTGAAAGGAAGCATATTAAAAAGCTCGAAAATTTGTTGAATTTTCCTAAATTTGGTATAAAGTTTGAAACTATGATTTATGTGGTTGTGGTTAGAGCTTGGACAATGTTTTTATAGAAAAATAACAAAAAAATTTTACTTGAACACTTGTGTGATCCACTGTATATTAATGCACGTCTACGTATTTATTTAGGCTTTGGTGTAAATTTATATGCACCACGAAAAAAACAACTTTATTTTTGATTCCCACGTTACAAGCGCTTAAAACATATCAAATGTAATAAGAATTCGAAAAATATATGTACCTCTGACTAACATTAGTTTACATACATAAATAATTAATTTTGTTCCCTGTATGTACATATGTATGTACGTAAATACATATCGTTGCCTAAAGGTGGGTAGGTGCCAAGTCCATTTTTCCCCAATTTTTCAGAGGGCAGATTCTGTAACCAATTAGCGACAAATTTCGGGTCGGTATCGGTTTTGTTGACGTATGATAAGAATATTTGTACAGAATCTCTTGTTTCAGAATCTCCCCCCAGGAGAGACGAAAAATAGATGTAGTTTCGCATTACCTGTCATTCTGCATCTATAACAAAATATTGAAAAAAAAGTGTACTTGGCACCTGGTTAGGTAGCGATATCCCTGCAAGGAAAGCTGAAAACTAGAATTCAACCAGTTTGCGTTTCAGCCCAACTAGTTTACGTTCTCTCTGTTAGCGACTGGTATTTTTCCTACGAGATGTCAATTTTCTGGCTAGGCATCAGCATCTACCAGTAAAAAACTAGTAGCTTCATAACAGTTGATGGGATAGTCGGCCAATTCGACCCCCGTGAAAAGCATAAGTATGACTCTTTGCTCGCGGCGCGACAACAGTAGCAATGGCCGACAGAGCAAAGCACTCGCGTGGTATGCCTGAGCTGCCAGGTTCAAGTCCTGGCGCAGGGAAATTCTTTTTATTTTATTTTTGTTTCTTTTAACTTATTTTTTTATGAATTTCTTTATTTAGGATTTTTATTGTAATTTTTTAACTTAATAAAAAATATTTTTTTTAACATCTTTTTTTTATCGTCAAGCATTTCTTCCCATATGTATGTTTCTTCAGCAATGCAATTAGATTTTCAAATTTTTTATTTATATTTAAATTGAAATAATTATTTTTACTTACATTAATTTAACTTTAAAAATCTTAACCACCTCCAAACGGCCTCGAACCTGCGATCTCAGGACCAGAATCACTAGTCTTCACGTGACGTCACAGCCGACATTTATAAGAAAACAGAGGTTAAAAGCTGCACTCATCGAGGAGGTAAATACCCGGTGGGCTATGGAAACTACCTGTCATACTACCAGGCAAATTTGGCCAAAGATTGATGTAAGACGATCCATAGCTCTCATTCGGCTGGTCGGCTCCTCTCTTAGATTTGTAGTCGGGGTAATCACCGTACACTGCCTGATGGACACATACAGAAAGAGGTTAGGATACCCCACCAACGATTTTTTGTCGCAGTTGCAGAGACGAGGAAGAGGTGGAGAGCATCGAACGTTATCTCTGCCATTGTCCCGCCTGGCCAATACGCGCAACCAATTCTTCAACAAGTACTTTCTAGATTGTTTAGCTGACTTGAACTCGGCGGACGTCCTCGACTTTTTGTGCTAAGGGAGGGATAGAAACATATGGCTTTGGAGAGTGGCACCACAATGGGCTTTTCAAGCCTACGTGTGATCTGAGCTCTGCGCGGGGCAGCCACTCTTATATAACCTAACCTATGGGCACGCCAGAATATATATAGAAAGGAAAGGAGCTTCCGGCCCGAACCGAACAGTGCACACCGATGCTGGGTCCAAGTGCATTTTTCAGCACACGCACCTCATTAAGGTACGACTGGACGGGATAGAGTATTTGTAACCATAATGAACTTGTTCACGGATGGATCGAAGTTGGATGAAATGGTAGGTGGAGATGTCTTGTATGAAGAACCCTTTATAAACCTCAAGTTTAGGATGCTTACAAATATAAAACCTCTAAAACAGGCTATCATATAATTTGAGACGTCTAGAGTTTGAGGAGGGCAGAAACAACTCGTAACGATTCGATGAACAATCAATGGAAAGAGCAGATACTTGAAATTGGGATATACACCCAGGAACTAACTAGCTGAAAATGATAGAGGGTTGCTTTTGTTTCGGCCCGCTATTGTACAAACTCCCTCAACTCTCTGCGAAGAAAGGACGCAAATATGAATCGGAAGAAGATCTGGTACGATGGCAATCATCCTGCCCAATCAAGCCTCCGTTACACCATGCAATCGGATCCGTGGGCAGGGACATATCGATGGGTTTAAATATTAGATCTGTATATTAGGAGTAAGAGCTGTTTTGCTACTGCGCTAGTGTAGTTTTTGCTTAATTTGCACCGATTTTTTCACAAAAAACTGTGGCAAATGCCGCTGCAGTTCTGCCCTGCAATGTTCTACACGTTTAGAGCACTCATCGAACACAACTACAGCCTAAAGAGTCTCATACTTCTACCTCTGCAATTTTACAAATATTTTATATGCGGTTTTGCACGATCAACAACATTTTATAACAGGAAGTAGCCATTGAAATTTGAGTTTTAGACGTTACTTTCGTTACGTTTTATGAACGAATTCTCTTTGTCACCCTGTCCCATTTGCGTACTTGCGTCAAATTGTACACCTACAACGTTGTTAAACTTCAATCAGAAATTGGACGGACGTGGAAAAATATATTTCACCTGTGTAAAATATAAAAACAAATGCCAATTGTGGATAGGTAACTCGTTATTCCATACTGAAGTTAATTTGCATAACTTCATACCATTCTGAATACGGAGAATTAGCATTTGCGATAAGAAAAAACTAAAGCATAGAGTGAAGTACTTGAATGGGAGCAGTTTTGATAACAGCCAAGGAATTCAGTGTACATAAGCAACAAATACCTATACGAAAGTAATAACTGGGAGTTACATTAACTGCGTAACATTCACTTGCCTCGCTTTGTTGATATAATGAATATCGGATGGTGTAATTGATTTGCCAAGCAGTTTTCATACAGTTAAAGAAAGGTATAGTACGGCAGTGAAAGGCAGTGTTTAAAAATGTTTGCTTCGTTGAAAAACAAAATAAAAGAAGAAACTGGTTCAGATGTGGCTACCGCAGCAACGAGTACGCGGCACACAAACCATAACAACAATCGAATACGAAGTCGTTTCTCCTCGACATTGAGTGTTAATTCCACTAATGAGGACGCCGGAGGAGGTGGCAGCGCAGATTCACAGGGTTATGTGGTAAGTTGAAATATGAGCAATAAAAGCAAATAAATATAATGAAATACTTTTTACTTATGCAGTCAGAGCAATTCTCCACATTGCGCAGTCAATGCAATGAACTGACCACCAAAGTGACTGAACTAAATTCTCGGCTGCAATTGCTTCAAGAAGAAAAGACACGCATCGAAAAGACCAATGAAATTCTCTTGGAAACAGTCAAAGTTGCCCAAACGCAAAAGGACATCTACTGTGAGGAACAGGAGAAGATACAAAATCTACAACAAGGCGAAATAGAAAAATTAAAAAATTTATTATCATTCCGCGAGCAAGAAGCTGTTGATCGACTTTCAGCTATGCGACAAAATCAGCAACAAATTGAAAATCTAACCAGTGAACTTGAACGACTGAAGCAATATGAGCCGATGGTAGAGGATTTACAGGTGAATATATGCATACCTGTATTGTTGATAGCCAAAGTGTTAGTTTTTCTTTAATATGTGTTTATTTAAATAGGCGTGTATGTATACGCTAAACTTTTAACCGATATTTATATTTATTTGCATTATTTTTTTTTTTTTTTATTGAACTTGCTTTATGTACATTGGGTTGGCAGTAAGCAAGTCCACTCCTCACCACAAAATTTGGTTTGACTTACTTGTACTTATTTTTTTCCGGTATATGCATACATATATACATATATGTGCACTGTTTAAAAAAGTGCCTCTGAAAGTTCTTCGTAGTTTTAGTTTGTTAAAACGAAGTTTGCTTTCCATTTCTATTGTGTTGCCAAATAAATGGTTGTAAAATTTTGTTCATACATACATATGTATATTGAAACGAGGCTGACTCATGCTGGTAAGTATATTTCGTACATACGTTTGTACATGTACTGAAGTATGTAGTAGGTGTGTGCCTATGGAATATGTAACCGTATTTAGCATATCTACCCGAGTTACCCGCTGTAATTCAAATAATGTTTTTCTATTCCTTCCAGGATGAACTGGAACGTCTGCGTCATTCGTCACAGCTGGGAAAAAATAATTTGACAACTACACTTGCTGCTGTCGAGGAGGAAAATCGTCATTTAAAAATGCGTTTACAAATAATGGAACAAGCGCGTTTAGATGCTATAAATACATTTAGCGCAGATGAGAAAATGCAAGCGCTCGTGCAAGAACGCAAAATGCTCGAACAGCATCTGGAAGAAGCCCATCTTCAGCTGTCCGATATAAAGAGTACATGGAGCGGTCAGAACTTATCATTGGAAACGCAAGTAAGCCGCTTGTCCAAGCAAGTTGCGGAAGAAACGACTGAAAAACGAAAAGCATTGAAGGCACGTGATGATTTAAATGAAAAAGTGAAGCAATTAGAATTTGAAATGATGAAACTTAGGGAAGACATGAAGCAGCGTGATGATAAAGTACGTATAATAAAATCATATATGTTAAGAATAGTAATAGCTCTAGCAGTTTAGAAGATTTCTCATTAAGTTCTTGAGAGATGCGGGTGGAGTTAAAGCACTTTTCTTTTGTAAAGCTGGGTATCCCATTAAAAAAAAGCAACGAAAATATGTGTTTGCCTTGTGTTGAATTCGTAAAAACGCTAAAAATTATCAATCTTTACTTAAAATAATAAATAAATAAATAAATATATGTATATATATATATTTTTTTTTTCAGATAAAACTGCTTGAAGAAGAGATCGATGAATTGAATTCGGCCTTAAAGGAATGCCGCGAGGAGAATGAACAGCAAATTATCTACGAACGGAATAAGGCTGTGAGTATATCTGCTGATTTAGGTGAATTGCATTGGGATAATATGTAACTAACCTAAACCCAAGAAGATATAATAATAACTAAACACACCCATGCGTATGTAAATGAAATGCTTTAGCTAACCCTATCACCAACTTATTTAAAACTGCAGCCACCGACACATAAATAGTATTAAATACACCAATTAACGCTCACAGCTCGTGTTTGCTTTGTTAAGTTTATTTATATGTACGTTAGTTGATGCAACCTTTGTTGATTTATATTTTGTTAAAAAAAAATCTTGTATTATTTAATGTTCTGAATAAAAGCCGTTTTCATTTAAAGGAAGAGTTTTGATTTTAAAAAAATATCATTTATTTACCAATTAAGTTTTATGTCTGTCGTTATTCTACTTTGGAATTTTGTTTTAACGATTTCAAGTTTGATATTTGTTGAAATTTGCCATCTTTCTCAACCTCAAGGAGACACTAGAAAATGAAACTAAGGAACTAAAGTTACGCATCAGTACCGCAGATGAACGCTTCAGCGAGTATGCCACCAATGCGGAACATGTTGCACAGTCGTTACGCCAGCAAAACGCGCAGCTACAAGAACAGCTGAACGAAGCTTTAAATCTGCTGGAAACGGAAAAGGAAGAAAAGCTAACAGCACTGTTGCGAAATGCAGAGATATCACAAAGTGAGGAGATCCTTCGCAAAGAATTGCGCATCGAACGAGATGAGGCTAATGATTTAAATGAAAAGAACGAACAGTTGACAAGCGAAATGCAAGCCAAAACGCAAGAGATCAAGCAATGTAAAATCGAGATGGAGGATTTAAAGACTGTGATGTATAAGAATAGTGAGAAGCTAAAGGAGATCGATGAAATGCAACGGGAAATAAGCGAGAAAAATAAGGTATAATTTATTGTTAACTTCTTTTTATGTGAAGAAAAATCTAATTTCATCAAGAATACTCGTATCCATAGACAATAAAAATTCTGAATCAACGTTTGGCGGATTTGAAGAAAACTCTGCAGAAGGAATTTCACAACGCTAAATCAATCGAAGTGGAAAAAGAGCGTAACGGTAACTGCATTGCGGCCAAACTGCCAAGTACGGCAGATGTACTTGCATCCAACACTCCATTTTTGAGTGAGCCGCTGTCATGCGAACACTGCGGCATGAGCGTAAACACCACCAGCAATATCACAACCACTGGTACCAATAGCATAGTTATGGATGAAGTCAATTTTAAATATTTAAAACACGTAATTGTGAAATTTCTTACTAGTCGAGAGGTGAGTCCGTTATATAAATTTAGAATTTGTGTATCTCTAAATTCTTTGCTTTGTTTTCTGTTCACAGGTAGAAGCACGTCACTTAATACGCGCTGTTTCGACACTGTTAAGACTCACCAAAGATGAAGAGAAATTACTGCAAGATACGCTAAATTGGAAAATGAGTTGGTTTGGCTCGAAGCCGAATCATGGTAGGGGCCAACATTCGTTCTCTATACCGCCGAGTTAATACTAAAACTGCATTTATAAATATTAAAGTGCATAATAACAAACATTTAAACAACATGTCACATGTTGCTAGTTGGACTCACCCAGCCGATCGATTAATAGACTTTTAAAACTAAACCAGCTACGTTAGCAACGTTTTACGTACGCAGCATTTATTATAAGAATTATTGACTAATTACACGGTGCTACAAAAAAAAGTCATGAAATATACCCGAAACAAAACCTAGTGTAGCTTGTAGCTATGGTAGAGTGCAACGTAAAAATAGGTTCCGTGTAGTTCGTGAACCCTCCATTTTTATTTTATATAAAAACAACCGTTATGATCGTACTTTATGCACTTATCTAAGTATTAAGAGATTAACTAATTGTCATCCGATTTTAAAAACCAAACATAGTTAGGAAAGAGGATTTATAGACCTTACGATCAAGTAGTTTTTGAGATATGCATATATGATATATGTTCAGGAACTATTCGGAACGGTTTTGTTTCGGGTGTATTTTATGACTTATTTTGTAGCACGGTGTTTTTTATGCATATTCCACATATTGGAATATGATCAACACTACTAGCACCGTACTCCTTTCCTTGAATGATAATAGAAAGAGCGATATCACTGAGTTTAGATTGTTAAGGCTATTGAAATTCGCCAAATGTTTTTGTTGAAAGTTTTAGTTAATAAGCATTCTTTTCATTGACGTAATGTAAAAAAATAATAATTTTTGATCACAAACTTTCCAAACGATTTAAGTACGAGTCCTGTAGTGTTATCTTCGTTCATATTGTTTCGAGCTTATCATTCCATTATGTAGATATGAACATGTATGTAATTTTTGATATGTATTTATTTTCTATTTGTATATATTTCCTGAAATTTGTTAATTAAATTGACTTAATTTATTTTGTTGTAAAATTTTGTATACTGCATGAAATTAAGCATTAAAAACAAAAAATAGTTGATACACCGAATGTTTTTTAATTAAAGAACGCAAAACATTTTCTTTGAATTTTGTTATAATCAAACCGGATAACAGTAATGACTTGGTCAGGTACTAACCTGGACCCGTGTCATCGCATCCGATATCGCATTAAACTCGGTTCAAAATTTCGTTTTCAGTTTGCGCACCATAATAGCGATTCCGCTTCAATATAAATTGGATTGGAAACAGCTATCATTTTATTTCATTCGACCACGGATTCCGTAATTAGGGACCGGGGCCTCACAAGTTACTTAGACCCGACTATAGTGAGATCGCGACCGTAAGTATGATTTTTAGTTTATAAAACCTTACACCCAAATTCGTGAAAAATAAAGATGGCTTTAAGTGCTTTATAAAACAAACATTTTTATGAAAATGTCACTTTCAAAACCAACTTTATTTTGTAAAAATAAGGCAATAAAAGAAATGGGGTATATGTTCTTATTCAATCATCTGGCCACCCAAAATTTTCAATCTCAAACAAATAAGTGTGGCAACTGTCTTGTGGTTTCACAGCTGTCACTTGATTGTAGTTTTTGAGGTTATGTCAAAACCAGCTGAGATTACATCGTTGCTCCATTGAAATTTCGTGAGGGACATGTCTTTGGGTTCATTTGGAAAGATTGTAATTTGTTGGTAAACGTACTACTTTTAGTAAAACCGAAACTATATATAAAATTACTTTTATTTCACAAAAATTACAGGGGAGTGATTACATTTGCGGGAGTGTATGGATTTATTTTGTCGAAAAACTCTGTAGATAAACGACGTTACCAGGACATGCAAATCCGTGAACGCATGCGAAAGTCAAATATTGGTGAATACGAACCTATTGGTGATAGGCGCTTCAGTGGTTAAATACTTAAGAAAGCAAATAGGACTCGTTTTGGAGCAAATATTTATAAAAAAAAAAATACGAACATTTGGGCGAACTATCACATAAAGCGTGAACCCTATAACTCGACATTTTATTCAAGCAACTAATAAACTAACACCAAGAGTACACAATGGCCATGCCACAAATAAGTCAAGCCGACCAGGCTAAATTGCAGCTGATGCAGGATATGGAAATTGAAATGATGTCGGACTTATATAACCGCATGACAAATGCCTGCCATAAAAAATGCATACCACCGCGCTACGGAGAAGCGGAATTGGGTAAGCAAATGAAAGATAAATTGCTTTCTATTTCTTTTTGTACACAAACATTAAGCTGATAGTTAAGTTTAAACTCCATACCACAATTTTCCATTCTTAGAGTACGTTAACTATTAAGAGCATTTTTTTTTTGTCATCCTCCACTGCTGTGCTTAGTTGGCTTTTAATACAGCGGACATTGCCCTCTGCTTAAAAAATGTATGATATTAGATATGTTTTATTTTTCATATACCCACTGAAATAAACTAAACCGAACACAAGCTCTCTATATCCAGGGCACTCCGTTCCCATGACAGTCGGGGTGGTCTACGGAACTGAAAGACCCTGATCTATATTAGGCCGAGGACTGACGCATCAACATATTCCCATAAAGCTCTTGGTAGAATATTTATGCTATCAGAAGCGTTCAGTAATATAACTTCCCTAATGGCGTTTTCGTTTCTACAAAAAATGTTGCTTCTTTATTGCCCTTTTTTTAGTGTTTGTGCGTAGAGGGCAAAGAGAAGATTGCATTTTTCGGTAGAAACGAAATCGGCATAAGTAACTGGAACGACCCAGATTCAGAGTTGGGCATTATTCGAATAAATTGTTATTTAGATAATTATAAAATTTTATCCGTAATATATTAATTCGTAAATAATTCATTCATGAATAGATTATTAGTGATTTTATTCGTTATTTAAAATAATTTTTAAAAATTGATTTATAACACACTGAGCAACGTTTTACTTATATTTCTATTGTCAAGGATTGTGAGTTAGTTAAATTCTGTTTTCGATTTTATCAAGAATACTAGCCCATTCCCGCTTGACTGGCGGCCCTGATAAGATCTTTTGCTTTGTCCAATGCAAGAATAGGTTTGAAAAGCAAATATGGATAAAGTAAGAATTCTTAATTTAGGTTGAAACAACTATGAGCAGAACCCTTTTCACACATATTTCTGCCAAAAATAGTAGCACTCTGATGTTATAGCGAAAAAATCCCTTTCGATGTCGTAAGCTTTACCGATGGTCTTATTTCCACCTGTGAGATCTTTTCTAAGCATGCCTAATCTTCTATGATCTTGCAACTACAACATTGGTCCGAGACGTCAACCACTAGTCTAATTGCATGTAAGCCAACAAAAGTCCTTATAAGGAAGCTGAAGAGCACAGATGTGCGTTTTCTATTATAGTAGAGCCAAAATCCTCGGTGTTTCACAGGACGAAAAGTTTTCCCGCACGTTCAAATCTGGCCATTGATATACCGACCGTGGTCTTTCTTGGACGAGTGGGTAGGTTGGCTGTCACTAAACTACCCAACCCAACTGCAAAAGTAATGTTAAAAAGCCACCCGATCGCACCTCGTTAGGAGACGTCTAAGCATAATGAAAGTAAACACCGTACAGCGAAAGAGCATACCCGCTAAGATACGATTGGCTGCCTGATAAGTCTTAAACAACTTGCAGCGCGAAACTACTTGCAGCCGGAAAAAGATGCTAAGAAACTTTCCCTAATTAGGCTAGTGCAACAGATTAACCTCCTAAAGAACAATATTAAACCTGGAATTCCCCAATATTTGCACAGCAGTCAGAAATTTGATTTATGCTTACAATATGTACAACAATATAACTCGGACTTTTAAAATATGAATTCATGTAGGATTCATTATAAATATGTACTATTTTTAAAGCATTACATTTACATTTTCAATGAACTGGTTGTAAGATCCACCGAAAAAGTTCAATGTAGAGCTATGTTCGTTAACTAATACTAATTCAGATCACCACCTTCTACACGATAGATTGTTAATTTTGTTTGGTCATAAATCCGTGCTCATCGCTGCTTCCATTTAATTTAAAAACCTGGACAAGTATTTACAGAACTTATGCTGAGTAGACTACGCAGGTTGTATTCAGAAATGAATCAAGCCAAAGCATCAGTATCTTTTATTTCTAAGCTAGAATTGATGGATATGTCAATATGCGCAACTACGGTTAAGTGCCCTATTGGAACTTAATTGCATACAAAAGGCATTTCCATCAATTATGGTTTAGAAGTAAAAGAGACTGATTGTTGTTGTTGTTGTAGCAACATACAAGCTCCCCAAAGAGTTTTGGGGAGTGTTGCTGGAGTGACAGTCCTTGGCCAAATATAAATCTGGGTCGTTCCGGTTACGTAGACCCGACTGTCGTGGGAACGAAAAGAGACTGATGCTTTGGCTTGATGTATTTCTGTGCACACCCGCACCCATCTGGAAGTAGAGCGAATTAAAAATGTTGTCTTCGAAGAGAATATTTTGTTAAGATACCCCAAAACCCCTTTTGCTAGTAAATTGCTCCCCTAAGTAAGTAAATAATAGAAAAGTTTAAACTTGAGTATTTTTGAGAAATTTTATAGATTTTTGTAAAATTTCGTCATGCAAATTTTACGTAAATCTGTTTCGCATTTTTCTTTGCAGGTAAAGGCGAAATGGTCTGCATTGATCGATGTGTGGCCAAATACCTGGATATTCATGAAAAAATTGGCAAAAAGCTAACCGCCATGTCCATACAAGATGAGGAGCTAATGAAAAAGATGTCTGGTTAATCAACAAAAAATCCTCTTCAACTCAGGCTATATACCAATTGAAAACACAAATAAATCAATATTTTTAATTGAGCTAGTTTTAAGTTTGCTTACCTCACACACCAACTATATACCATTACCGCTTACCACTTGTTAGCGTTTTCGTTAGAATAGTTGTTGCTGGTGCTAGTTTTCTCGGAAAGTTTTGCAAAGTTTTGCTGTGCAAAGATAAAATATGTGAATGTAAATGCATTTAATGTGAGTACTAACCATGCTCCTTTAAATAGTTCAATAAAAGCTGTTCTTTTTTTTTAATAAAATATCGCTTTTTTGTATAATTTTTAAAATTTGGAAGTTATCACATAATTTCAATACCAACAATTAGTTTAATTAAATATGTTTATGCAAGTATAGATAGATATTCAAAAATACATATAAGCATAAAGCAAGACGAAATTTGAGCTCAAGTCCGAATTGGGAGTATTCAAGTAAAGTTGGTTATGTATCGCGAAAGCTCTGGTATTAGCATGGAAATATCCTGCAAGGAGTAAGAAAAAGTTTATAAACCTCTTCATTGGTTCTCTTTTTTTTCCAAATTTACCCACCTCTAAGTCATTTTCTGGTCCACTCTCATCTGTTGTGTCTAAATCACTAGTCTCTATACTATTCTCCCAATCAGAGTTTGCATCACCCTCTTCGTCATCATCGTCCTCACTCAGCTCGCTGGCACGCATTGCTAAGCGTTGCTGCTCTGCAGCGTCCAGTCGCTCTTCACACTGTACATGCAAATGCTCCTGCAAATAAATGGTAAAAGAAAAACACATTTTAATTACAATTCCATTACTCTTTGCCATTCTAAAGCTCACCCTCAGTTGTCGTCGTGCTTCTTCCTCATCGCAAATTGGATTTTCGCTGAGGTTGAGCACGCGCACAAATCGTGTATTGAAGAGATCTTCCGTAGCCGGCATTGTTTCTATGCGATTGTTATTCAGAAAAACATATTGCAGCTTACGCATGTGTCGCAGGCAAGCCGGTACGCTGGTGAGGTAATTATTCTTGAAATTCAAATGCACCAACTTCACGAACCCATCCATTGTGGCGGGAACCTCAGTCAGTTCATTCGATTCAAATGTCAGCCAACGCAGATTCGTCAGCCGACCTATACTGTTTGGTAGTTGTTTCA